ACCCAGAACCTGCAAAGCCCTGTCCTAGAGGCTGGGTTTTTGTGCAATTCCCTAACTCAGCCCAACGAGGCTTTGTGTTTGCTGGTTTTCAAATTAATTGCTAAATGTTAATGCTCCTGAGGGGTCCCACCTGTATTGCAATTCCAAGGAAAACAGGAATAAAAAAAGCTTTCTGTAAGGCAATCTCAAGGCAAGTTTTGCATCCAAAATCCCAGGGAAGGCTGTGCTGGGAAATCTGGAAGTTGAATACTGCGAACATCCCCTCCTGTGTGGCGCAACGGCTCCAGCCCTTCCTCTTTCCTAAAATAAAGGCAACTTCTCAGAAGTGCTTCCTCTCTCACGGCTGCCCCAGGCAGGTGAAGCAGCCCCGGGGGCTCAGGAACAGCAGCAGAGTTTGGGGACAGTTGGGGGTCAGGGGATGCTGAGACCCAAGGATTTGGACCCCAAATTTGGTCCCCAGGGACCCCCATCGCCTGCAAGAGGCCGTGGTGGAGCTTTAAATGCCACCAAGCTCCTGGTGACAGGTTTTGGGGGGAAAAAGGCAAGCAAGAGTAGGGGGAAACTGACTTTAGATTTGTGCCTAAAATCACTGGGATAAAACGGTTCCATCACCGGGATAAAAACGCCTCCATCACCAGGATAAAAACCCATTCCCCACAGGGATAAAAAGCCTCCATCACCAGGATACAACGGGATAAACCCCTCCCTCACCAGCAGGAGAGGTTTGTGTCAGTCTCTGTGTTAGTTCTCAGCTGGTGCCATGGCTAAGGATGGAAAAATTAGTGTTCAGTCTCAATCAGCTGGGACAGCAGGATGAGGATCCCTCTGCCTGGCGCAGGGAGTGACCACGGCTGTGCTGGGTTAAAAAGGAAAAGCAAGAAAAAGCCAGTTTTTGCCTTAGCTATTAAAAAAAAGCCCAAACCCTGCTCACCATCCTTTGTGGGAGCTCAGCTCAGGTCGGGCTTTGCTGATGGGTTCAGCAGCCGGGAAGGAGGATGAGGCCTGGAGCAGCAACTTGGCAATGAATTTCTATTCATTCTTTTCTTGTTATCCTGGGGTTTTTTTTAACTTCCTCCAATTCCGTGGGTGGAACACAAGCCCCTGGTTCCTTGGCTGGGCTCTGGTGTGTCAGGGACAGGCAGGACACCGGGCCCAGTGCAGGCACAAGTGGCATTGTGTAAACAGTAACGAGAAAGCTTCCATAAGAACAACAAAAACAACAATAAGAGGCCCTTTAACAGGCCAACGAGAGGGAGCACACCCGTACAGGAGTGAAAAATTACCCCCTTCCTTGCAAAAAATACAATAATAATCCCTAACCAGAAGGAAGAAACAGGTACATTCTTTCTCTCGATGGATCCCCCAGAAGGTCTCCAGGATTTCTCCACCCGAAAGTGCATCCCAGTGCCGGCTGTGCTGGTCACAGTGGCGTGTACTGGTTGTCAATGGCACGGACGTGGCCCCTGCCTGGTGCCTCCACCTCATAGTCCGAGTCACGGGGCCGGGCTGTGGTGGCCGTGGCGGCCCTGGCCGGGCGCAGGCTCTGTGCCAGCTCAGCTGGTGGTGGCACCAGGTGGAAGATCTGCTCTGCTGGGGGACCCCCGGGGGGCTCATCAGGGCCGTGAGGGCAGGAGGAGCTGGCGGGGATGAGGCTGAAGTCGGGGCTCCATCCTGGGAAGGGCAGGGGGAGAGGGACCGTGGTGCTGGAGCCGGGAGCTGCAGACAGAGAGAGGAGATGATGGTCAGGGGGATGCTCCTGTCGTCCCCTCTCTGGGGGTGTGGGGTGCATCCCATGATCCCCCCGCCGCAGCCAGTGGCTGGGAGCAGCTTCTCCTTTCTCAAAAGGGGAAGTTGGGAGCTTGGGAGTCACCTTTTGTGCCACTGCCCCGAGGCTTCCGCTTCCCCACTCCAGGAGCAACCAAAGGGCCTGGGGCTGGCACCCACAGACAGCCCGGGCACCCTCTATCCCAGGGGAACATCCCCCTTCCCCTTCCTGCATACCTTGTGTCCCATGGGAACATCCCCTTCCCTTCCCTTCCCTTCCCTTCCCTTCCCTTCCCTTCCCTTCCCTTCCCTTCCCTTCCCTTCCCTTCCCTTCCCTTCCCTTCCCTTCCCTTCCCTTCCCTTCCCTTCCCTTCCCTTCCCACACACCTTGTGCCTGGGGCAGGACCATGACGTAGCTGGAGAGCCGCACGTCGCAGGCGGAGCCGCACTCCAGCGGGATGGGGTAGCGGTGGAAGTGCTGCAGCATCTCCACGATGGAGGAGAAGCGCAGGTGCTGCACCCGGCACTGGCCCCGCTCCGTCAGCGCCAGCCTCAGGTGCTGTGGAGAGGAGCAGGGACCCGTTACCCTCCCTGCATTCCCTCCTGGAGGACGCGGAGGGGGTGTTTGGGATGGGGGACACGCCCATGGCTTCAGCACCATGTGCTGCATCCCCGCCCTGTGGCTCCCGGGGGATCCCCCTGGCCAGGGCAGAGAGCAGGAGAGCATCTCCCTGGGGTGGGATGCAGTGGCACAGGGGCTGTCCTGCAGCAGGGGCTGCCCCTGTGAGATTCCCCTCCCCATCCCAGCCCTGTCCCGCCCGTACCTTGGCTCTGCCCTGGAAGTTGAAGGTGAGCACGTACTCGCCGCGGCGCGTCTCGCTCTGCCGCACCAGGAACACGCCGTGGCCCTCCAGCCCCCCCAGCTGCACCAGCTGAGCCGCCTTCACGCGGGAGATGGGCCCGTGGAACCAGGGGCAGGAGGAGAGGAACTGCTCCATCTTCGGCCCCGCCGCCTCCCCCGGGCCCCCCGGAGTCGCCCCTGCCGGGCACAGGGATGAGTGTCCCTGGGAAATGGGATCCCTGCCCATCGCCCCCATCCCCTCCCCTCTGTCCCCTCCCCTTGTGCCATTTGGGGAAGGACAATCAGCCCAGCCACGGTGACCCCCCAGTGAGGGATGCTCTGTTCCCAGGGTCCCCTGGGTGTCCCCAGCTCACCTTGGCTGACGGGGTCGGTGCTGGTGGCGGGGCTGGCGGCTGTAGGGTCAGGGTGTCTACACGTCAGGAGCTCAGGGTCACCTGTGTCAGACCTGCTGGGGACAGGGGAAGCCAGGCTGAGTGCTGGCAGTGGGGACACAGAGCCACTGTCCCCAGCCCCGCCTCAGGCACATCCAAAGGCGCTTACCCCCTGCACACACACTCCCGGATCTCGGCCGTCCAGCAGCTGAGCTGCTGCTCATCCCCTGCCTCAAACAGGATGTCGGTGGCATTGGTGACCTGGGGGACATCAGAGAGGGACATGAGGTCTTCAGAGAAAGAGAGAGATGTGCATCCCCCACCCACCCACGCTCAGGACCCCAGCAGGGAGAGCACAACCCAACCCCAGCCTGCACTCCACATCCTCTGTGCATCCCCTCCCTAGATGGGAAGAGGAACTGAAATTTGGCACTGGAGCTTTTGGGAGCCACATGTGCCCCAGGGGGTGGGAAAGGCCTCAAGGCTGGCTGCAGACCCTTCCAGCAAGTCCTACCTTGAGGACAAAGGTGTGGAGGTTATCGGGCATCTCGAGGCGTGTGCACCTCCGCACCTCCTGCACAGCGGAGCAGGCGACGAGCAGCTTGGGCTTGGAGCCCTGTGGGGGGAACGCAGAGCCTGAGCTGAGCCCCAACTGCCCCACACCCCAAAACACTGCCCCAGGCCCCAAAACACCGCCCCACATCCCAAAACACTGCCCCACATCCCAAAACACTGCCCCAGGCCCCAAAACACTGCCCCACACCCCAAAACACCGCCCCACATCCCAAAACACTGCCCCACACCCCAAAACACTGCCCCACACCCCAAAACACTGCCCCACATCCCAAAACACTGCCCCACACCCCAAAACACCGCCCCACATCCCAAAACACTGCCCCACACCACACTGCTCTACCCAGTCCAGGAGCCACCTGACGCACAGCAGCCAGCAAAGAAAAAACCCCAGGGAAAGGGAAATGCCCCAGCAGCAAGGAAATACCCTGTGTGGTGAGGAAATACCCCTCTGTGGCAAGGAAATACCCCCCACAACACTGCTCAGACACTGTTGGGGCACCCCAGGGGGGCTGAGTGACATCCAGACCCATCTCAGGGGTCCCAAGGACCCTGCAGGAGGAGAGGGGAAGAAGGGGGTTCCCAGCATGGCAGCACGCTCCAGGGAGGTGGCACCGATGGGGAAATTGGGGTGCAGGCAGGGAACATCCTGCTCGTGGCTGTGAGGGTCAGTGGCCTGCCAAGAGCTCCCTGGTGGCTTTGGCACTGACACAGGCACGTGACAAAATGCTGAGCAAACACTTCCACAAAGGCTAAAATATCCCTGCGGCAGCTTTCGGTTCCTCAGGAGGCTGCGGCACGTGGCACAGGATCCGGGGTGCCAGGGGGGCAAAAATTCCCTGAATTGGGCAAAAAATCACCCAATGGTGCTGGGTGATGGAGCCAAGGCTCTGTGCTCAGCCCCATAGCCAGAGCCATCCTGTGCATCCCACCCCCACATGCCAGAGCCCCTCATCCCCCTGTGCCAGGCTTGCTGAACAATTTGGGCTGGCTGTGATTCACAAAGTGGCTTTATCATCCCACGGGATGCTGGTTCCAGTGTCCCTCTTCACTCACACTGTCCCTACACAGTGACAGCGTCCCTACACCCTGGGCTGTGGCACTTCACCCCACAACTGCCAACCAAGCTGCCCAAATTCTGCCCCGAGCTCGTGAAGCTCACAGCAAACCCACCCCACCCACCTGTATGACACTCAGAATGTCCCCACCGGACACTTCCTCGGTCACCCAACCACACCATCTTTAGCTTTGCTGGTTTTTTTTTTTTGCTTTTTTTTCCCCATCCCCCCTCCCTCCCTCCCTCGAGCACTCGGTGTTCTCTGGGGCCGGAAACGCAGCGCGAGAGGGATCAGCCCTTATCAGCTCCGAGCTGCACCGAGAAGAAAGTTCTTAGAAGTCGCTGGTGTACGGCGTCATGCACAGGGCTGGTGACACCGCGGTGGCTCCGGCAGCCCCGGGCCCGCTGGTGACAGTGATTGCAGCTGTGCTGTGCTGCAATCACGGCCGCCGGGGCTGCCGTGGGGCGCCGCGGCTTTATCCCGAAGGAATTCGATTTTTCTGCCACCTTTGGAACGTAACCGTGCCCCGTGCAAAGTCCTGTGTGTGGAGAAGGTGAAAGGAGATCTCTCATCCTGGCCACTTTCCCACACAGGGAGCTGTGACGTCCAGCATGACCCTGAGAGGGTTTTATCAACATCCCAACCACAGCGCTTGGGGTCGGCTTCTCAGGAAACGGGGAAATTCCAGGAAAAGGGAGTTCGGCGAAGCCCCCCGCGCGTCTCTCGGCGTGGAGAGCGCAGCTGGAACGTGAAGGGAGAAGGAAATGATGCAGCACAGAGATACGGTGCCCGAAAAACCAGGCTGGCTTCGGGGAAGTGCCTGCCGCAGGCACGGTGCCCCCGCTGCCGGGGCGCCGCACCTGACCGCAAGATGCCCGGCTCGATGCAGCCGCTACCGGGAAAGGGAGTTCTCAGTAAGCAAAAGTGCACACTCAACACACCGAGGGTTCACCCACGGGCTCCTTCTCGGCAAGAGGTGCCCCAGCAGCGCTGCAGGGATGGGTAAAGCCCGCTGCTGCCTGGCTCCGTGTGCTCAGGATGCTCAGGAATTTTTAGGATGTTACGGGTGTTGCTCCAGCTCAGCCACAAACCCTACATCAGCTTCCACATGGAGATTCACCCCCCTGGATCTCCAGCAAGGATATTTGGGATTGATGGTGTTTTTCACAGCAAAGATCCTCCCAACTCGCCCACCTGTGCCAGGAACGCTCTCCCCACGAAGCTGTGAGCTGCTGCCACAAGGAGCACGTCCTGCCTGGGTGCCCAGGGGACACTGAGGGTGCTGGGGGAGCTTTTCCCACTCAGGCAAGGGGGAAGGTGGCTCTCCAAGAACAAGAGTGGCGTGAGGATGGCAGCGGTGGCAGTGGCCTGGTGATGATGGCAGCAGTGCAGTGATGAGGGTGGTGGTCTGGCAGTGGTGGCACAGCAATGACAACAGCAATGACAGCAGTGTCACGGTGACAGTGGCAGAGTGATGATGACAGTGGCACGATGACAACGGTGGCACAATGATGACGGCAATGGCAGGGTGATGATAGCATTGTCACGGTGATGGTGGCAGTGGCTGGGCCATCAGCCCAAGTTCATGCAGAGCAAATCCTTCGAGAGCAGCAGGAGCTGCCCCCGGCCCCTCCACGCCCCAGGGGTTTCCCCACACCGGCTCTCGCTTCCACTCTGAGTCACCCACGGGAGGTGGGGAAGTGCCTGAGCCCTTGTGCAAGGTCCCCAACGGATACGGGCGAGATTTGTCACTTCTTGTAAATCACTGTGGCCCTTACGCAAGGGACAAACCTCAGCCAAGCTGCAGGGCCAGGCCTGGCCATGCTGGATGGACACAAAACCATATCCTGTGCCTGCAGCCCTGGGGGAAGCTGTGAAGCTTTCCAGGAGCGTGGGTACACACAGCTCTTTTCCAGGGAATGCTGAGTGAACTGGGTGGGAAACATCCCCTGGTGCCAGGGCAGGACAGGGGGAGCCAGCGGGGCCCTGCAGGGGTCCAAGGGTTCTGCTGGAGAGTCCAAAGTTCCTGCCGGAGCAGCCATCGTCCTCAGGAGCTTGCACCAAGGGTAATCCCAGCCTTCATCCTCGGGGATTTTGTTAGGCAGGAAATCCCACAGGTGGTTTCCCTCGGGAGTTAAACCCAAGGCTCATTCTTGAGGACTTCTGCACCACAGATAATCCCAAAATGTGTCCTCAGGGTTTGCACCACGGCCAATCCTGGTGTTCATCCTCAGGGATCTGCACCATGGCTAACTCTGGTGTTCATCCTCAGGGATCTGCAGCTGACTAATCCCTCTCTCCAGCAGCCAGTCCCAGTGCTCTGGGGGAGCTGAGAGCACAGTTAATCCCGGTGCTCTTCCTCAGGTGTTTGCATCACAGCTCATCCCAAGGGGAGAGGTCCACTCTGGACAGCCCCTGCCAATGCTGGTTTTTGGGACAGGGACTGGAATCCCATTGATTTGGCCATTCTGTGCCTGCTGCAGGGACCCCCTAGCTCAGGGTGACATTCCCAAAGCACTCCCGCCTCTCTGCAGGTGCAGACTGCTCATTTAGAAACCTCCTGACAGCAGCAAGCACCATCCTGGGCTCTGTCCTGGCTTTGAGGAACTGGAGCCTGGAGGTTCCCCGACTATCAAACAGGAACATGGGAGGTGATTCCCGCTGCTGTGCGAGCTCAACATCCCCCACCCCTGAGGTTCGGGTCATCACCTCCCAAAAACCCCTCTCTGCCCACCCCAAAGCCCCTCCAGCACCCGCCACACAAAGGAGCTCCCGGGACACGGTGTCTCTCTCGGAGCATCCCGCGGGCCGGGGCAGGGGACAGAGCTGTCCCCGAGGGGCCCGTGCCCAGCGGTGACAAGGGACACCGTTGTGCCGGCGCCGCCACAAAGATCCCTCTGTTCCCGCGGGGCGGCTGCGAGCGCCGGCGAACGGCGACGGGAGAAAGCACAGCCCCGAGCCCGCCGGCCCCTGAGCCCCGACCTCCCGCTGGATTCGCCCGGGGCGCTGCAAAACAGAACCCCAAGAACCGCAGGGTGAGGCTGCGGGTGGGGTTTGGGGGGGCCAGGAATCCCCACCCATCCCTGGAGCTGGTGGCTCCTCTGTTCTTTGATCATCCTCCCTGCTTTGCATGAGTAAGACAACGTTCCCAAACCCCCCAAACCTCTGCAAAACATCCGTAAAACCCCCAAACCTCTGCAAAGCTCCCCAAAACCCTGCAACGCCTCCCAAATCCCTGCAAAGCTCCCCAAAACCCTGCAACGCCTCCCAAATCCCTGCAAAGCCCCCCAAAACCCTGCAACGCCTCCCAAATCCCTGCAAAGCCCCCCAAAACTCTGCAAAGCACCCCAAAAACCCTACAAATCTCTCCAAAACCCTGCAAAACCCCAAAAACCATACAAAGCTCCCCAAAACCCTGCAAAGCCCCCCAGAACCAGCGAGCCCAGCAGCTCACATCAGGGCTGAGGGCGATGGGGGCTATAAACAAGATCTGTAAACAGCTTTTGCCAGACCCTTGATTTTTTTTTTTTTAATTTATTTTATGCCAGATTCGGTTCCAGCGTGGGCTGCTTTAATAATTTCCTGGAATAAATAACGAGCATGGAAAGTAAACAAGGTGTCTGCGTGCAAGTGGGAGATGCTGCAGCCAGGACTGAGTCACCCCAAACCTCAGCCCCAGAGGAATGAGGGGGTCCAGCAAAGATTCTGCAGGCTCCCCACAAGCCCTGGGGTGTCCTGGGATTTTCCCAAGGTTTTGCATCACCCAGGATGATGGAAAAGGTTCAAAACCCAAGTGGGAGCATTCAATCCCACTGGATGGGTATTTTCATTCCTGCCCCTTGCCTGGGGTTGGAGGGAGTGAGTTTGCCCAAAATGCTGGTTTTTAACACAATCCCCAAATGACACTGAACATCACAGTGCCCATCACAGACACTGGAGCTGGGATCTGCCTGGTGGGAAGGAGCAGGGTCCACCCCAGCCGAGCCCCCAGCAGGGCTGGGATGAATCCTTGAATCCTTCCAGACCCTGTGCTGCCTGCACAGGCTCTCATAAATATTTACCTTTGAAAGAAGCAGCTCTCAGCCTTGAAACAACCACATCCTGGGCCGTGAAAAGAGAGAGAGAGAGAGAAAAAAAAAACCAAAGAAGAAAAAGGGGGAAAAAAAGAGAGACAACCACCCAAAAAAAACCCACTAGGGCATTTCACATCAGCTGTGGGGACCCAGCACCCAGCAGCACCCACAGCTCTTCTCGAGCAATGCATTCCCTGAGTGCTTTCTCAGTCCTTTTTCCTGTGGTTTGCCCAATATCTCCATTTTTTGCCCACTTCTCAGCTGGCACGTGGTGCTTTCCACCCCGAGCAGCCCTGCAGCATCCCTGTGAGTGACACTCTGATAAGCAGGGGCAGTAGGACAACAGCCCCAGGAAGGGCAGATTTCAAAGGATGGGGTTGAAAGGATGGAATCCTCCCGAGCCCCAAACCCCAGAGTTCAATGAGGCAGATATTGGGGTCCATCCTGAACCCTTCCCCTCACACCCAGGCCCTGGCAAGCCCCATCCCAGCAACAGTTTCCAAAATAAGAAACTCTGCTCTTCAGCAATTAACGCCGGGGCTGTGGTTACGCTGCTAAAAGTGTTTTTTCCGTGCATGACCAAGGATGGAAAAAGTTGTGGTTAATAAATGACAAATAACCTTTGTCTCCTCACCCTCCTTCCCACCCCCCCTCGGTACCCAAAAACAGAGCTGGGGGGAGGGGGAAGAGAGCAAAAGTCACCACCAAAATCTCACAAAGCCCTGAGGCCGCCCAGCCCCGGTGCCTTCGAAGAACAGAGAGGATGCGCCCGCCCTGGCCCAGGGAGAGGCTGCCCGAGGGTTTTGGGGCAGCTCCAGGTGCCTTCAGGGCAGGTTTTGCCTCTCCCAAGGGATTTGAAGGACACCCAAACCCCTCCAGGGTCATCACAGCCGTTTTCCCAGCTCCTGGCTGTGTGGTCTTCGGGGTTGCCAGGAGAGGGATGCGATCCTTGAGGATGCTGCTGGGAGCAGGATCTCAGAATCACAGAATAAAATGGGTTGGAAGGGATTTTCAAAGGCCACCCAGTCCAACCCCTCTGCAGTAAACAGGGACACCAACCAGATCAGGATGCAGCCCCTGGAAATGCCAAAAAAGGGATGCAGTCCCTGGGAATGCCAGGAGAGGGATGCTGGGAGCAGGATGTTTGGAGAGGGATCATAGAAGAACAGAATAGTTTGGGTTGGAAAGGATCTTGAAAAATCAACGAGTCCAACCCCCTGCAGTGAGCAGGGACATCTTCAGCTGCATCAGGACAGGATGCAGCCCATGGAGATGCCAAGAGAGGGATGCAGTCCCTGGGAATGCCAGAAGAATGTCATGAATGGGATGCAGCCCATGGAGATGCCAGGAAAAAGATGCCAAGAGAGGGATGAAGTCCCCAGGAATGCCAGGAAAAGGATGCCAGGAGAGGGATGTGGTCCCTTGGGGATCCAGATTGACACAAACCCGCCCTTTCCTGGAGCAGGGATGGGATGATGGGACACTGAGGTGCTTCCCATCACTGGGAAAATTCTTCTCAAGGTGTTCAAGGGGGGAAAACTCTCCCTCCACCACTGCCCTTCCTTGGTGGAGTCACTCAGGCCATGTTTGAGCAGCTCCAGGAGGAGCAGGGATAGGGAATGGGGACCAAAACACTGGGATGTTCCCCATCCCATACCTGACCAGCTGCCACTCACAGCCCCAAGCACCAAAAATCGGGGACAGGAACCTGCTGGCTCAGGAGGTGGCAGTTCTCAGAAACCAGATTCAGGTGAAAGGTGTAAAAAAAGAAAAAAAAAATTAAAAAAAAAAAAAAGAGAAAAAAAGGAAAAAAAAGGAAGTCAAAGCAGCCTCACACTGAGCAGAGACAGAAATACTGCTCCTCCCGTGGCTTCAGCAAAGATGTTTGAGCTGGGGCAGAGGCTCCAAGGGCTCTCTCCGGAAGGAGTCTCCAGGCCAGTCCCGGCGTGCCATCAATTTGTGGGACGCCCTGGATTTCATTAAAATGCTATAAAGAAAGCAGCACAAATGCAAATCCCATTTCCCTTCCCCTTCCTGTAAAAACATCTGGTCAACAGAAACGGCTCGGGACATTTCCGCTGCGAGTCACGGCTTTCATGGAGTTTGGGATTTGGCCATAGAAGAGGGATTTGGGGTTGGGGCTCAGCTGAGGAACGGGGCAGCCCCAAAGCTGACAAACCTGGGCTTCCCAGCTTTGGTTGAAATTTATGAAGGTGGAAAGACCTCAGAGGTGCCCAGTGCTAAAGGTTGTATGGGATTAAATGGTGTGGGAGAGGAGAAAACCCTTAATGCCTCCAAGGAAATCAGGGAAGATTGGTGAGCATTGCCCTCATAGCAAACATCAGAGAATCCACATGGGTGCAAATCCAGGACCATGCCCAGGTTTTCCTGTGGCACATATATATAAAAAATGAAAAAATGTGTGTGTGTGTGCATGTATGTATATATATATATATAATAAAAATACATATAGCCTTAAAAATATATATAGCCTTATATATAAATATTTTACACATATATGTATATGTATTTATATTATATTATATTATATTATATTATATTATATTATATTATATTATATTATATTATATTATATATAGCCATATATACAAGCACTACAGGTATCCCAATATCCCTCCATTCCAGCTCCTCTTCCACACAGCATCATCACCTCACTCTGGCCTCTGGAATGTCCCCAGGGTGGGACTGCCCCTCAGTCCCGTGCCCTGCAGCCAGGCAGGGACCCTCTCCCAGGAGAGATCCCATCATCCCCAAATCCCTCCTTGGCAGCATCATTTTTCCTGTGCTTGAGGGAGGAGGGAGCGATGCCCAAACTAAGCCAGCTGTGGCTGTCCATGGGAAGGGGAGCTGCTCCCTCTCCCAAAATCCTCCCAAATCCAAATCCAAATCCCAAAGTCCTCATCTCTTCTGGCACACGCCTGGGGCAGGGGATGCCCACTCCAGGCAGGGCCACAGGTGCTGCCACATTCTTGAGCGCAGCTCCCTGACCCCTTCACCCAGCACAGCCACCCAAGCAGTAAATGGGATCAGGGCTCTTCAAAGCCCCCACTCCCTTTGATGCCAGGCACGTTATGGGATTAAGCTCAGAGGCCCCATTGGAGCGCCAGGAGAAAGGGGGGGAAAAGGAGATAAAAGCTGCCAAAAGCAGCAGGACCCCCCCTCCTTTCTCCACACACCTGCCTTTCCCAAGGTCATTCCAAGGGGATGGATATTTGGGGGCTTGGCTAGATGCTGCAAAGCCCTGAGGCTGAGATGAAATTTCAATTGCATCCTATTATTTACAGGGTGAAAGGGGGAAGGAGGAGGAAGGGGGAAGGAAGAGAAGGAAGGGGGAAGGAAGAGAAGGAAGGGGGAAGGAAGAGAAGGAAGGGGGAAGAAGGCTGTTTCCAGGCAGACTGTGAGGGTAACCAACCTCACAGTTCAGAGATCATTTGGGGTTGAAAAATCCCAAGAACAGATTTTACAGTTGCTTATTTAAAACCATCAATTTTCTATGGTGATCAACAGCATCCACAAATCAGGAACAGACCCATGAGATGGGGAAAAGGCAGTGGAAAAACCCTGGGAGCATCCTGGGGCAGGAGGATGGCAAGGAAGGGGTTCCTCACAGCCATTCCCAGGGGGTTGTTGAGTGTTATTTAGTTATTTTAAAGGAAAATAACCCCCCAACAAACTGTTCTGTTCTCACTGCTCCGTGGTTTGCCCCGTGCTGGGTTTGGGGAGTGGGAGCCACCAGCACCGTGGGGGATTTTCCACCGCCCCCGGAATCCAACCGCAGTTACTGGGAAAGGGTCAGGATTGATTGTGCTGTAAAGGAGAAGGGAGCTGGCCCTGGCCCAGGGAATTGGAAAGGAAGGAGCCGCCCTGAGAATATTTGCACAGGAAGCAATTTAATCCAGAGACTTGCAAAATCCAGCAAGGAACATCCCCCACTTCCGCAGGCCTGGCTGAGAAACCCCCTGCTCCAGGCTCTGGGGGCTCCAGCCTCGTGGGGATGTGGAGCACCAGGAAATCTCCATTGCATGGAGACTGCAAGGAATAATGCTCAGAGCACTGGGGGAATGTGGGCAGGGTCCTGTTTGAAGTGTCTCCCACCCCTGGGTCAAAGCTGGGCAGGGAATGTGGGGAGAGGAAGAATGTGCTGGGCTTGCTTCCCAAGGGGGAGGGAAACAAAGAAAGAAAAAGGGAGGAAAGGAAAAAAAATATAAGGGGGATAGGGAGAAAAAGATGGGGGTAGTAAAAAAAAAAAAAAAAAAGTGGGGGGGAATTGAAAAAAGAAAAGGGGAAGTGAAAAAAGAAAAAGGAATAAAAAAAAGGGGGGAAGAAAAAAGTAAAAGAGATTTTAAAAAAATAATAAGGGATTAAAAAAAATGGGGAAAAGGGAGAAAAAGGATGAGGGAGAGAAAAAAGGCAGTGCTATCCAGCTGCTGGAGCACCCTCCAAGTGCCCCAGAGTGCCTCTGACCTCCCTGTGCCCCGGGATGGGGACACACACTCCCACGGGGACAAACAACTGCAACCC